GGGAGTCTGCTTCTCCCTCTGACCCTCCCCCCTCTTATGTGCCCTCTCTCAAATAAAAAAAAATTAAAAAAAAAAAAAAGAAAAAAAAGAACATTCCTTGAAGAAATCAGCAAGGGGAGAGAGAAGGGAGGCTCAAGGGCTCCGGCCAGGTGGGCTTCTGGACAAAGGCGCGGGGAAAGGAGTCTTAGGAATTCTGCCTATTCCTGCAGTCCCCTCTTCCCGGGCTGCCCTGGACACGACTGACATTCGGGGAGTCCCCACCACTACGGCTGGCATGCGTTTGGAGAGCCGAGGCCCCTGCTGCATCACTTGCGCCCCTCCAAGGCCTCACTGCCCAGCGCGGAGCCCAGGACTTACCACCCACAAGAAGATGTTGATGAATAGCACGGTGGGGATGCCCCCAAAGGGCTGCCCCTGCAGGACGGTGCTCCGGGATTGGAAGCATTCGTTCGTTGTCATGTTCCGAGTCTCTTCCATCACGCTCAGGCTGCGCGGCGGGACGGCCATCCTGGGAGCTCCCTGGTGACAAAGGAACGCTCAGGTCAGACAAAAGAGACCCTCTCACTCTGTAATCGCAGAAGCCTGCCGGGGAGATGGGGCGGGGCGCACTGCGTGTCCATTGCCAGCCAGTAACAGGTCAGGGTGGGAGGCTCAGCCCTGAGATGGCACACAGCCTTATCCCGTAAGACAGCAGCTTCCCCAAACCCAGAGTCACGATGGCAGAAGAGCCCAGATCCCCGTTTGCTCCCTTTACTGAAAGAGTCCTCAAATGCATCTCCAAATGGATCTTCTTATTCATACCTTTGTGAAGCTTTTCTTGCATAGAAATGAACAAACTTCACAAAGGTGGGTAGGACCCCAGAGTGAGAGTATTCAGTCTGGAGAACAGAACTGCATTCATGGGACGCCCGTGCAGACAGGGTCAACATCCTATGATTCTCCGATCCAGTTCCCAGGAAAGGAAGGTTCCTAAGACTAAATGAGGTAAAGCAGGAGGGCGCCTGGCACAGAGCAGTGACTCAGTAAATGTCACTGTCTTAATGTCGAACTTGAGCCAGGGAGATCGGCATCTGCCCAGGGGCCTGAGCCAATCCGGTGAGGGCTCAGGGTCATGGGCTTCAGTATTCTCCAGACTTGGAGAAGAGTGAGAAGCCCCGATGAAAACGAGAAGTGACTCGTAGGTGCTTGAAGTTATCTGCAAAGTTGTTCTGGTTTTAAGATCATTCGTTTTGGCTCCAGACCTCATATCACCCTAGGAGCTCTTCACTCCCATTCAAGAAAAGCAGGCTCATTCTTTCCTTCCTTCCTTCCTTCATTCAACAAGTATTACTAAATGCACCAGACCGATGCTGGTGGATGCATCGCTGAACGTATTAAAGGGATCACTCTGATCCTTGGCTTGAGAATAAATGGGGGTGGGCCAAGCAGAGAAGTAAAATCGGACAGGTCAGTTAGGAGGAAATTGTAGCAATCCAGGCAAGAGGTAACCACAGCCAGGACTGGGATGGAAACAGAGGAGGTGGTGAGAAGTGCTCAGATTTTGGAAGTATTTTGAAGGTGAAGCCAAGATTTGCTGATAGAATGGATGGTGGGGGGTAGGGTGTAAAAGAGAGGAGTCGAGGGTGACTCTGAAGTTTCCGGGCCCAGCAACTGGAAGAGGGGAGGTGCCGTTCTGAGGTGCGACAGCAAAGAAGTGCAGGGTGGGGGTGGTCAGGAGCCCGGTGCGGGACATGCTAGGTGGACATGCCAGGTGGGTGGCTGGATATGAGTCTGCAGCTCAGAGGAGAGTCAGGAGACATAGATGTGAGCATCACCAGCAGACAGAGGACTCCTAGGGGGGTAGGACTGGATCACCGAAGGAGTGAGCACAGAGTGAGGCTCAAGGTCTGAGCCTCGGGATGCTCCAGCGCAGACAGCTGGGACAGGTGAGGAGGACACAGGAAAGGGACTAGAAGAGCAGCCAGCGAGGAAAGAAGAACAGCAGGAGAGGGTGGTGTCCTGGAAGCTAAGGAAGTGTCTCCAGGAGAAGGCAGGGACCGAGTAAGATGACAACTGAGGATTAGCCACAGTTAAAGCAACAAGGAGGTTTAGTGGGTGGCCAGACCGGAACAGGTGCGAGAAAGAAGGATGCCGGCGGATTTGGAGCCAGTGGGCGTGAACGATTCCTTTGGAAAGGAACCAGAGTTTGGAAGTGGTTAGGATGGGAGAAGTAGCAGAACATGGTATGCCAGTGGGAACGGTCCAGTAGAAAATTAAAAGCTGGTGACGTGGGAGAGACAGGGCATCGCTGGAGCAACGTGAGGACGTGGGAAGGGCTGGGAACTGGTGCACAAGTGAAGTTGGCCTTGGCCCAGAGCTGGATACTGACCCACGGCAGCAGGAGGGAGGAAGGGGTGCTGGTGGAGCTGGCGGGCGCGCCCTTCCACAGCTTCTATTTCTCAGCCTCAGAGGGAACAAGGTCTCAAGGTGACTGTGCAATGCTGGTGGTGGTGGGCAGATGTGGGATGTCTGAGGACAGGAAAAAAGGCAGAAATAGAAACCTAGAGGAGTGATGGAGTGAATGCATGATGGGAATGTGGAGGACGGCCGGGCGGCACTAAGGGTTCACTGAAGTTCATGGTCTTGAATGGACAACAAGAGCAGCCGGACTCACTGGCCTTTCCCACAGCTGTACTCATCTGTGTGGATGCACAGATGAGTGGGGAAGAGGCGCACAGCTCGACCTAACCAGGCTAGAGGTTTTCCCAAGTATGAGAATTAGAGGGTTGGAACTGTATATGAGGGAGTAGTGTTAACGACTGGCCAGGTAAGGAAGGGAAAGGAGATGCGAGATGGGCAAGGGATGGGGACAGGTGCCAGAGGTCCAGGGAGGGAGAACTGTCGAGTACCACAGACCGTGAGCTGACAGATAGGAAAATGAGCTGTGTGACACAGACTGAGAAGGGATTAGTTATGGGTAGTGAGAAGATCTAGGGCATGGCCATGACGTGAGCGGGGGAATGGTGTCAAGGAACTGAGAGGCTGGAGTGTCCTTTGAGGAAATCAGTAAGAATGAAGACCAGAACAGCACTGGTGTGACCGTGAGGCAGGAAGTGAACTCTTCCGGGAAGGAGGGGAGTGACCGGGGTGGGGGGGTGAGGGTGCGTGGTAGTTAGTGCTTGTACCAAAGATGGGGAGCGAGATACCTAGGTTGACACCTTGGGTCCAAGATGGAGCCTTCAGCAGGGAGGAAGGAAGAGTCTGGAAGTTGCAAAGAGGAGCAAGGAAGATGTGTCTCCCATCCCCTGGCCTGGGGGTGGTGGTGGTGGTTAAGAGAAGTCCTGTCCTGGGGAGACTGTGGTTTCAAATCCCAGTGGGCAGGTGAGGCGCTGCAGGAGCTGGGGATCTTTCTGGGCATCGTGGGCTCTGTGGCACTGAATCTCAGTTCCAACACTCACAAGCCACCTCGAGCAAGCTACTCATGGTCTCCCTGCCTCATTTGCTCATCTGTAAAAGGGGCGTGGTGTTAGTAACTAGTACCCACTTCACAGTGCTGTCAAGAGGGATAGGTGGGTTAAGATTCATCAGTCATGGAGAGCAATGCCTGCAACACAGAAGTATCCCATAGACACTTGTCAAATGAAAAGTGGATGCATGGCTCCAGGGGGCACAGTGGGATGCTGGCCGGAGTTGGGAAAGCTGGGCGGAGGGGGATGGAGGAGGGAATAAAGGTGAAGGTGCTGGTGTGCAGGATACGGGAAGTGGCCTGGGGGTCTGGGGCTCCCTGTGCTAACTCACAGAAAATAGGAGAATACCAGAACCCACCCTCCTTCCAGCCGGATTAGCATCTTACGGGGGCGGGGAGCCTCCTGCCCATCTTTTTCTGCTCCTTCTCTTTCTGCCCTAGGCTGCCCACGGTTTTATTACCCTAGGTCACTGTTTAACTCATTGACACAAGCATGCTTGGCTGAACGTAAACTTAAAACGGTTTACACTGACCACCGTACCTTTACCCTGCAAGCCTTCTGCCAGGGAGCGGAGTAGCGAGTATCGGGCAGCCGCGGAAGGAAGCTGCAGTTCTTCTAGTGGCCACCCGGGGGAGCCCGCGCTAAGGAAGCCGCTGGGGAACGGCAGGGAGGCGCAGGCGCGATCTGAAAGCCTCGGAGGGCCGGTCCTTACCTGAGTCAGTTCTCCAGGGCGGGGCCGAGTCAGGCCTGGGGTCTCGGCTCAGCTACGGGGCCCCTGCAAAAGAACAAAGGCAGTGGAGAGACCACACGACCTAGGGACCCAGGCCGTGTTCACGGGCGGTGTCATCTCTCAGGGCGCCTTTCCTCGTCTTTATGCTCAGGATACTCGGCCTTTATCACACGTGTGTCTTGCAAATGGTTTTTCCTAGTCTGCTGCTTCTCTTTTCGTTTTCTTCATGGTATCTTGGAAGCACCACAGTTTTGGATTCTGACAAAGTCCAATTCAACAAATTTTCTTTTATGGACCAGGCTTTTTTGGTATGGTGTCTACGAAATCTTTGCCTACACCAAAGGCTTACAGATGCTCTCCTATGTTTTCTTCTAAAAAGTCATCTTGTGGGCACCTGGGTGGCTCAGTTGGTTAAGCGACTGCCTTCGGCTCAGGTCATGATCCTGGAGTCCCTGGATCGAGTCCCATATCGGGCTCCCTGCTCAGCGGGGGGTCTACTTCTCCCTCTGACTCTCTTCCCTCTCGTGCTCTCTGTCTCTCATTCTCTCTCAAATAAATAAATAAAATCTTTTAAAAAATAAAATAAAAAGTCATCTTGTTTTAGCTCTGACACTAAAATCTAGGATGCACTTAGAGTTAAAGTTGGCACAGGAGGTGAGGTAAGGGTCTAAGTTCATCTTTCGGCATGTGGCTATCCAGCTGCCCAGCACCCTTTGTTGGATTCTCATTTTTAAACTGAGGGGAAGAGCTGGGAAGCCTGGGTCAGGGCTGTCTGGGGACTGGAGCCAGGCCAGGGATGTGAAAGCGCTTGGTGACCTGCAGCCAGCCACAGGGACGTGTGACTTGTTATTTGGATAATACCGTGCATGATGAGGGGAGGGGGCAGTCCCGGGCTGGGAAGAGCTCTAGCTTCCATCTGGCTCTAAGGAGGTTTGAGTCCTGGATGCTGCTCTTTTCCACTCAGCTCCCACACACTCATTCTCTCTCCTTCCAAAAGCACCCCCTTTCCTCCCTCCCTCCTCCTTCCTTCCTTCAACAAAGAAGGGCTGAGGCCCTACCACGTGCCAGGCATCCTGCCAGGCTCTGGGGGCCTGGCAGACCTGGTTCCCATCCATAGGAGGCTCCCAGCCTCACCGGGGAGACACGTAGGCATGCCACCACACACTCCAGCACACTTTGATAGCCCGGGGAAAGGGGGCCACGGGGCGGGCCCACCTCGAGTGGTCAGAGAAGGCTTCTGCGAGGAAGTCACCTCCAGGTGAGACGTGAGGAGGTGGCATTGGCACAGGGTGGTGGGAAGCGTGGACGGAGGGAACCATGTTGGCCAAGACCCAGAGCGGGGACAAAGCATGGCGTTTTGGAAACGTGCAAACGAATAGTCATGGCTGGCGTGCAGGGTGGATCGCTAGTTCGTGCTTTTGTTTGCTCATGTATTCATTCGACGAGAATCCGTGGCAGAGCTACTCTGGGTGTTCCCAGCCTTTGGGATTCGGCGGGAGGATTGCCGTTGGGAGAGGCGTGGCCCAGGCAGCCATTCGGCCCGGGAGGTCTCCAGAAACAAGGTATAAGCCTCTAAGCTTGGAGAGGGGTGTAACCCATGGTCAGGGCCAGGCAGGTGCAGCGTGCCTGAAGGTGAGGCAGGTGAGGGACGTGGATGAGGGAAGGAGGTGAGGAGGGACAAGAGAGAAGAGAGCCTCGCCCCCACCTCAGCACCCTCCCCAGCGTCCTCAGCAGCAGGCAGAGGTGGGATGAGGGAGGCTATTGTGGAAACCCAGAGCATCGCCCTGCCTTTTGTCTTCAGCCCTAAACTGTGCCTGGACCCTCCTTTCTGGAGTGCTTTCCTCCTTCCTTCTTTCTAGCTCTTGGGTGTGAAGAACAGGGGTAGAGAGCTTTCTGGAGACCAAAGTATCCGCACTGGAAAGAACGGAACTTGAAATCTGAGGGATAGAAAGGAACACAGAGTGGGGGCACCCAGCTGGCTGGGGCAGGCGGCGGCAGGGGACTCCTCCTCCGGCACGAATTTCACGGCAGAGCACAGGGAGGTGACCAGGGCAGTGGGAAGAAGTGGACTGTCTGCAGCCAGACTGGGCGGAAATCCCAGGGCTACCCTTGCTAGCTGGGTGGCCATGACAGCGACCTTACCTCTGTGACCCTTAGTTCCCACCTCTGGAAAGTGGGGATAATAGAAGCATTGCCTCACAGGGCGCCTGGGGGGCTCAGTTGGTTAGGCGACTGCCTTCGGCTCAGGTCATGATCCTGGAGTCCCGGGATCGAGTCCCGCATCGGGCTCCCTGCTCGGCAGGGAGTCTGCTTCTCCCTCTGACCCTCCTCCCTCTCATGCTCTCTGTCTCTCATTCTCTCTCTCGCAAATAAATAAATAAAATCTTAAAAAAAAAAAAAAAGCAAGAGCGAAAATGACACACAAGAATTTCATGCTGAGGGCGCCTGGGTGGCTCAGTTGGTTAAGCGACTGCCTTCGGCTCAGGTCATGATCCTGGAGTCCCTGGATCGAGTCCCGCATCGGGCTCCCTGCTCGGCGGGGAGCCTGCTTCTCCCTCTGACCCTCCCCCCTCTCATGTGCTCTCTGTCTCTCATTCTCTCTCTCTCAAATAAATAAAAAAATTAAAAAATCTTAAAAAAAAAAAAGAAGCATTGCCTCACAAAGTTATTGTGAACACGAAATAAGTGAACTCGCACAAAGCCTTTGCAGAGCGCTCGAGAAGGAGTGCTCACTCTTAGTGCCGTCATCACTGGTTTCCGTCCTCCTACTCTGTTCTGGAACAGGCCAGGGGAGAGATCTGGAATATGGGAAGGACTGTCCAATGCCCCATAAACTGCAGCCTGTAGGGGTTGTTGCCTCTGTTCTTCCTGTGCAGGAGAGACAAACGTCAGCCTTGCTTTTTGGGCCAACGAGGGGCAGGGAGAGATGGTGGCAATGCTCGCTGGTGAGTCGGGATTCTCAGGCCCTCCTCAGCTGCACCTCCTATCTGATGGGGAAGTGTGTGGCCTTCCTCCCTTCCCATTTCTCCCCCAGCCCGGCCTCCAGTGCCAAAAGCTGGAGGCTTAGCAGTCCCAGGCCTGAACAAGGTTTACTTTGGCACATGGGCAAAAAGCTTCGAAAAGAACTAGCTCCGTCTTTATTAGTCCCCTGGCCCATCGCTCACCCCCTTCCTTCCAGACCTGGACTGGTTTCAGCTACTGCTGTCCTAAGTAGCCAGGCCAGCACTTTGCTCCCCTCTCCTTATCTTAAGGCCAAGTCCTCTGTGTGAGGAGCCTAAATCCCCCAAATCCCAGAGCGAGGGTGGTCAGGAAGCCCTGGGGATTGGGGAGGGGGGAGGGAGGAGAACAATCTTATTAATAGCGAACATTTATCGAGCACTTACTATAGGAGAAATTCTTCCCATTTAAGTATAGCTCATTAATTCTCATAAGTACCATAGGATACTAAAATCATCCCTAGAAGCAAGAGAAAATTAAGGCCCAGACATGTTAAATAACTTGGCTAAAGTCATGGTGCTAGTAAGTGGCAGGGCTGTCCCTTGAACCTGGGCAGTTTGTAGCCCTCTGCTCTCTACCTCCCAGACCCTCTGGACCTCTGCTGGGCTGGCAGTGCTGGGCAGGGGGCAGAGGAAGGGGGTGACCTCGCTCAAGCCCTAGTCCAGGGATGGAAACTTGCCCAGCCTTTCAGGATGGTGCAGTGTAAAGGGCCATGGACTCAGGGAGCCCCCCCAGAGCTGGGGTCCGGGTCACCTGTGTGGCCTTGGGCAGGTGCCTTCTCTTCTCTGGGCCCCCTGCCTGTAAGATGAAGGGTTTCTGTGGGAATTCTCCAAGGGCCAGGCTGGACCAAGGATTCCAGATGTCTCCGAGACACAGCCTGTGCTTCCTGGCACCGCCCAAAGCCACCATTCCCATGGGTTCTCAGGAACTGATCCAGAGGGCCTGCAACTTGGTTCGACAAGCAAGTCACTGTAGGCCAAAGCCATGTCCTAGGGAAAGAAGCTGGGTGGGGAGGCCGCCCCCTCCTCTCCTAACCCTGTCCCCCTAGAGTGCACAAAGCACAGCACCTGCTTCCCACCCCCACCATCTGGCCTCCTCACTGCCTTCAATTATTCTTCACCTTTCTGGTAACAACAGGAGAGATGATTTCCCATCGTCTTGGACCTTAAATGAACTGGAGCCCCTGGCCATGGGCACCCCCCACCTCTCCTTCTTCTCTGGGTCTCTCCTCATGTCCCTTCCGCACCCTCTGCTCTCAGATCTGCATCGCCCTTTCCAGGGTCCCCTTGGCAGCCCCAGAGGAGAGGGAGGAGGGAAGCGGGGTCACTGCAGTGGGGGTTCTGGGTAATGTCCCTCCCCAGCCGCCATGCCTCCGGGCCATGAGTCTTCCTCGCCCTGAACTGCCCTGAAACTCAGTCTCCTCATATCGTCACAGTGAAAGGGCTTTTGCCCAACGTTACACGTGAAGAAATGGTCGCCAGCAGGCTAAGAGATTGCCTGAGGCTGGGGAAAGTGGTGGAGCAGGCCTCAGAACTGGGTTTCCTGGCTCCCCATTCAGCACTCTCAGGCTTGGATGGATGATTCCGCAGCCTGGGGCTGGGGCGTGGGAGACACCAGAATTCCCGGGAAGGTGTTTCGTAGGTCCAGATACTCACGCCCCACTCCAGACTTTAAGAATGAGAATGTCCAGTCCATTTTTAGGTGCAGCCAAGATAGAGAGACACCGGCTTAGGGTTCCCAGGATTATCTGCATCTAGATAAGGCATTCTTGCAGATCTAAAAGGTTTTCTGACTCCCCCTGAAAGGAAGGAGGATGACGAGATGTGGCCATACAGGGCAGTAGCTCAGTGCCCCTCAAATCCCGCCGCAGGGGGCAGCTCAGGGCAGCTCAGGACGCGGGTCCTTGCATTCTGCTCTCAGGAGATCTCCCCTCCCCCTGGGCTTGGTAGGAATCCGGGGAAGGTGGGCTAGAGGCCTGCAGAGGCCACACGGCCTCTTCACGTGAATCCTCAAACTCCTGTGTTCTCCCTGTGCCTGAGGTCACTGGC